AAAGTATGCTACTAAAATTGTGGTCAGTAAGGTTTTTTTTTTTTTATTAAAGAAATTAATACTTTAGCAAGGATGTACTGAATTGATGAAGTGACCGTAAGGACATTTATAATTTGAAAAGGATTTCCATTATATATTTTCCATTTTATCACCGTTTCCAAGTATTTCCAGTAGTTCAAGTGTTTCTAGAGCCGCAAATCAGCATTTTTGTAATGATTTCTTAATTATCATGTGACACGGAAGACTGGAGTAATAGCTGCTGAAAATTCAGCTTTGTATCACAGGAATAAATTATATTTTAAAATAGAAAAGTGTCATTTTAAATTGTAGTAATATTTTACAATGACTCTTTAACTGTATTTTTGATCAAACAAATGTATCCAGGGTAAGCATAAGAGATCTTTCAGAAACATTAAAAAGATTGTACGACTCCAAAAATACTGTAACTTTCAGCACTCATAACTTCCCCATTTAAACGCATATGAATGCATTAATAAATGGTTTATACATTCATCTGTTTGGTGAGGTTATACTGCTCTGTGTAACAAATTTTTATTTTAAGGTCGCCATCTGATCGGATTCAGATCCATGCTGAAAATGTGCTGATTAAACAATGTGATGCAGCTTTGCAAAGAGGTTTTTATTAAAGAATGATTTATAGTGTATCTGATTTTGCAGGGGGACAGCAGGGGACTGTCCAGCCGTTCAGTGATGAAGATGCATCTATTGAGACCCTCAGTCACTGCAGCAGCCTCAGTGAAAGAACCAGTGCAGCAGAGGAAGGTGGGTATTTATGGTCTCATTTGTTTATTACAATAGTGCAATGCAAAAGCATGGATAAGCTCTTGTGTAGAGCTTAAACTAAGAAAGCAAGCAACATTTGACTAGCTCTCGTCCTGTTTGACAGCTGGTGAAACTGAAGAAATGGCTCAAGAGGACTTCCAGTACAAACTGAAGGTGTACATCGACAGCACAGTGGATAAGAGGTTTGTGTTCATTCGGATTTCTGATGTCAGCTGTGCTTGATTGTTCCGAATAATCCAGTTCTGCTAAAACCTCAAGCCTACAGCAGTCTGAATGGAGTAATTATGTTCCCCTTCTAGTGCCAAGACCAGACAAGGTGCCCTTGATGGACTAAAGACTGCCATGGCAACCAAAATCCTCTACGAATTCATTTCCGAGAGAAGGATGACCATCACAGACAGCATTGAGCGCTGCTTGAAGAAAGGTTGGCTTCATTTGTGATTTCAAATAGTTGGAAATAAACTCCTTTCTCTAGATGTTGCCATGACTTCAGTGCAGAAAGTTGAGTTGGCTGTTTGCATTTGCAAACCAGGTAAAGGAGTGGAGCAGTGCGCCGCAGCCTCGCTGGCGTGTCTCCTGTGCATCCAGCTGGGGTCTGGGATTGAGAGCGAAGAGGTTTTTAAGACCCTTAAACCTGTATTTAAGACCATCCTCAACGATGGAGCAGCTAACATTCAAGCCAGACAAGCTGTAAGCAGTCGTGCTCCTCTACTGCGCCTTAAAGAATTAAAATGATTTCACAATCCAGCAAATCTGAGATTGTAACAATCTGTTGATCTCGACTTTTTCTAGTGTGCAACAAGTCTAGGCCTTTGCACTCTTGTAGCAGAAGATGATATCATGGTAAGTTTGGCAATGAAAGCTTTAGTACAGTCTTTTATTTTCAAGTGGACGTCAGTCTTAAAGGGATATTTTATTCCAAAACCAGAGAAAATAAATTACACTTCATGTAATTTCAAACCCATATGCTGTAAAATTGTTTACTGTGGACCATACATTTTTTTAAAAGACTTTATATGCAGCTTTATAACACCTTGTATAGCTTTTAATATTGCTGTTTTATAGCAGTTGAACTTGTTACTTGCCAAGGAACCTGCCATGGCATTAAAACAACCAACCATCATGGAAATCATCAGCATAAAAACAGATCATTGAATCAGCAAGCTAAACTAGGTTACCTGAGAACCACGTCACTCGTGAACTGTTCAGTCTTTTGGGCCAGTACTTTCCACTGAACTGGTTCTCAAATCTGATTGACTGATTCATTCTGAAATCTGGCTCATCTGGTTCAGAGTGATTTAACGATCCAGTCAAAGTGGTTCCCAAGTGAACCATAAACATGTGTTGAGCAGTTCTTCCATGCACTTAGACATGTTGATGCCTCGAAGGCTTTCAGGATTCAAACCTGATGTTTGTGTCACCTCCAGGATGTGTATGCCACTATGGAGTCTTTTGAGAGCCTCTTCACTCACTCATACGTCAGAGAAGATGGAAGCAGACCTTCTGTGAATCCTCAAACCACACAGCTCCACACAAACGCTCTCCTGTCCTGGGCGCTGCTACTTACCATCTGCACTGGCAGCCACATCAGGGTCATTGCACAAAAGTAAGTGTAGGGAAACCGTTTTTAGACGTTAGATCTTTGATGGAACTCCCAAACGGATACTGAAGGATATGTTGCGACCTACAAACTAATGTCGAGTTCACACTGCACGATTTTAGCCCGAATTTTCACTCGCCGACAGGTTTTGCGAAATCAAATGCCCCGAAATCAGAGGCAAATCGGTGCTCGTTCACGCGAGTGAAAATAATGCTGTGTGAATGATCAAAGACACGATCTGATGGAATTGCCGACGCCTGTGAAATATTTGGAATGCTAAATATCTGGAGCTGTCGGCGATTCACAATCACGCAGTATGCAATGAGTTCTGACTGAAAACTACATCGGCGATGACCTACAGCCAACGAGAGACCAAGATACAGGGCAGCGGGAAGTTCGGGGAGGAGTTATGGACCAGAATATCAGTATTTTAATAGATATGAACAATTGCCATACAGAAACTAGCACAAACATTTGTTTGCCCAGCCACAACATCAGCATAACAGTTA